TGACGTTCTAGATCCATATTTTAATCAGATCATTTATGCCACCTGATATATACATATATAGCAAAGATAAGTAGAAGTGTAGAACAAGTGATAAAAAAATCTATAAAATTATCCATAAGTGGTGGTCTCCTGTTTCATATTGGTTAAAGATATTAGTTTATTCTTTTTAGCATGTGCAAGTCCGGAAGATTATCCTGGATTTTGGTCCTATTGATCCACCGGATATGATAACAGTAACTTATTTATACACATTTGAAAATTTAGTAAGACCATATATTATTAAAAAGATGATCATGGCTATTGGCTAGATTCTCATCTCATTTATGTTTGTTTTCGCTTTAATATATTATTTACTGACTCACAAAGTTTTAATTCTTTTATACATTCTTTGATGTTATGGTTATGAGATTAATCATCTGAGCGTTTGAAAATTACTAATTGACTTTTAACCCCAAAAAAACAAAAACAAAAAATTTGACGTAAATTTTAGAAGTAAAAATGTTTGATTAGTAAAGTAAAGATTGTTTGTATTGAAAGAAAAAGATTGTTTGTATTTAACAACAAAAATATCTTGTCTAAAACATTTGTGTGATTCGTGTGGTGCAGTTGGAATATGGAGGAGACGAATCGTACAAATTAGTGGTTGCATCCCGAGAGAAGCCGTCTTATGCACAACTTGAGGTTAGTAGGTCCCACTCACCACCTAAACCACTCTACTTTTTAGTACTATCATTTTCTTTTTTTTGGTATGATACTATCATTTTCTTCTCCAACCAATTTTATCCATCAACATTTAAATGGAAATTCAGCTTTATAACCATAAACACACCAACTTTAAATATTTGGTTTTTCTTCTTTCACTTGCAGTGCCGTGCCTAGCGTTTCAGGGGCCCTAGGCGATATAATAAAAATATATCTCGTATTAAGACATACATTTTATCATATAAAATATAAACTTTTTATAAAAATATATATTCAATATAACCAAAAGTTATTTTTTATAGTTTTACGTGATATATATATATATATATTTATAAATCTATTTATTTTTATTTTGTATGTGAGAACAAAATAATTTATTGGATCAAACATAAAATATTAAATATTTGATATTGAAACAATAGCAAACAATAATGTGTCTATATTCACCAACTCTGTTAATTAGTATATCTTAATTGTAACTATAAAGTTAGACACATATATAATCTGCAAAAACAGAATATCAAATGATTTTTAAAAAAATTAAAAAAATGAAACGGAAAACTTATAATGATTTGAGTATTTAAAATATGAAATTCTGATATGATACTAATTAACCC